CTGTTTGGTCTCAGAGTAATAATAATAATTTTAAGCAGTAGATCGGTGTATATTTACACGTGTAAATGGGGCAGACATAAATCTTCCTGTTGCTGAAATCTGAAGTTGAGAGGGTTCACCGCTTCTGTACCTCTAGTGATGTTAATGTCGACACATGTTAAGAGCCTGTTTGATCACACAAATCCATTACGAACAGTCGCCTTTCATAGTATTAGGTGACTGAAGTACAGAGAGGTGAAGATTGACCTGTTTTGCTCTGTTTAATTCCCATGCTGACAGCAGTGTTGTGTCGGTATGACTCAAGTTATGATTCACATTGCATAAAACGTCTCTCTTTTGATGGATCTGCTACAGCTTTGTATCTGAAATGGGTCAGACACCGAGGCGGTAGAAATCTGGGTATGACATGCTTGAGAAAATCAACAAGAGATGTTTTTAAAATCAAAGAGGTTCAAAAGAACTGGAACTATCCCTTTAAAAATTGGTCCTCTTTTGTAAGCCAGACCATCAGCTTATATTTTCATAACACTCCTCTCTTAATTTTCCTCAGAAATACTTTCTGAACTGACAGGCTCAGAACATTGACATTAGTTATGAAAATGAATAGCAGAAGATTTAGCTGTAATGGCTAACTAATCATCTGTCCACCCAGAACCAGAGGGGATTTTTGATGGATAATACACTATTTGACTGAAAGAGAATGATCAATATGTGAGCACTGCTCAACATGGCTAATATTATTAATCGCAGTCTGTGTTGTACCGTCAGTCTGGCTTGAAAATCACCCAGCAAACTCTTTCAAGTAGTTATTTGAGTTTGCAGTGGACTGTGAACAGTGGACTTCTCTCCTCCTGAAACACTGTTGAATTGGCTTTGACTATATTTACTAATAGCCCACACAACCTATGAGATGTCTTCAAGAAAGGAAAATTGTTTCAGGGTGGGGCAAGTTTTACATTTTGATGAAAGATTATGAAAACTAACATTTTACTGTTGAATTGCGTAAGACCAGTAAGACCACAAATGTATTTTAAATACACTACATTACTTACTTACTTAAATACACCATTCAAGTTTAGGGTCAGAGATATATTTTTTAAAGAAATTAACACTTGCTTAAGCAAGAAAGCATTATACCTTTCTAAAGCAGAGGTGTGTGAACTTTTAATATGAAGGGCCAAAAATCAAACTTGACTGAGTAATGCAAAGTAAATGTTGCATTACAGTATATCCAACTGCATTATTCTAAAAGGTATTCTGTTTAAAAAAAAAATGCTAATAATTAACCAAAAATGTAAATTACATTTTTTATTTTTTAAATCAAATTCACTTATATTGTGTTTTTGGAGTAATGATGCTGAAAATTCAGCTTTGCGTCACAGGAATAAACTGCATTTTAAAATATATAAGTGACTTCTTTCAAAAGCAATTTGAAATCTTACCGACTCCATACTTTTTACATTCTGACTTCACACTCACATTAACCCTGACGACCTGGTTTCTTATCTAGAGTATGTGCATTATGTAAATGCTTGAATAATCCATGAATCAATGCAGACATCTTGAAGATGACAGACACACAGCACAGCTTTTGATTTGCTGACCACAGCAACTCGAGTGAGGAGCAGCTGACAGTGAGGATTTTACTGCTGGAACAGAGAAAGAGAAAAATATATAAAAACATCACAATAATCCACAAGTAATCCACGTGACTAATCCATTGATGAGCAAGTGATGGAATGCTAAATTTCTCAAAATCTGATGAAGAAACAAACTCATCTATATCTTGGATGGCCTGAGAGTGAGTAAATTTTCAGCAAATTGTTCATTTTGGATTAACTATGATTTTAATCATGAAATAGCCTTCACATACTTTATATAAATATTTTTATTGAAATATATTTCTTTCTTTTGATTTTGGGGTGAAATATGACCCGGACATGCTTTGATGTTAGATGTTTCTTTAGATGCTGAAGTGAATGTCTTTGTCTTTCTGTTTTGTTGTGTCTAAACGCACACTCGCACACACACACACAAACACACACAGACACACTCCTACATGACTCTGTCACTCATAAACACACTCTGGATCCATGCAGTATTCCAATACAACATCTCTCTTTGGCTCTCACTGTCAGCTCTGATTAAAGAGGCTAATCACTGCGACTCTGAAAATAGAAGGGCATCAGTGCTGTGTGTGGGTATAGAGACGGATGTCCTATAATAATCATCCATCAGAATTTCTCAGCCAACGCAATTATTGCAGAATATCTGCGCCTGTATGTGCGAAAGCGCTTAGATCTCCATTGACTACATCAGTGATTATCAACTGGTGGGTTACGATCAAAAAATGGGTCACAGGTCTTGCAAAATGCAAGTAATATAACTAACCATATAATCATGCACGGTTAGGATAGAAAACACTCCCCAATCAAATTTGGTGCAAATTCATGTCATTTGGTAGAAGCTGTAGTCCAAACAGGGAGAAGCTAAATGGACAGGTTGCATGATGCCCAAAATCTGAAAACGAAACTTTGCAAGGTAAAAGAAAATGCAACCTAGAAAACATTAAATATGAGTTGAGGGTTTCGTATTGTGTTGGGTTACCACATGACATCTAAACATACAGCATAAAGCATATAGTAAATAGCATATAAATGCATGGCATTAAACTGAGGCTGTCCACATGTGCTTAATACTTTTTTATATACTTTATTTTGTATTTTTATTGCATTTATTCAGTTTTGCATAATTTGTTGAACTGATGAAGAAACAATGGAGAAGATAACCATGAAAGTGCATAGTTTCACCTCAAAATCAAAAGAACAAAAAACATTGCATCAAGACAATTAACCTCATCAATCAACCTATGTGCATTGTGATATTATTTTCTTGACAGCAACCCCACCAATTTATATGAGTTTGTTTTAAACAGATTTGGAGAAATTGAGCATTATATTACTTGCTTACCAATGGATCCTCTGCAGTGAATGGGTGCCGTCAGAATGAGAGTCCAAACAGCTGATAAAAACATCACAATAATCCACAAGTAATCCACGTGACTAATCCATTGATGAGCAAGTGATGGAATGCTAAATTTCTCAAAATCTGATGAAGAAACAAACTCATCTATATCTTGGATGGCCTGAGAGTGAGTAAATTTTCAGCAAATTGTTCATTTTGGATTAACTATGATTTTAATCATGAAATAGCCTTCACATACTTTATATAAATATTTTTATTGAAATATATTTCTTTCTTTTGATTTTGGGGTGAAATATGACCCGGACATGCTTTGATGTTAGATGTTTCTTTAGATGCTGAAGTGAATGTCTTTGTCTTTCTGTTTTGTTGTGTCTAAACGCACACTCGCACACACACACACAAACACACACACACACACAGAGGTTTGTTTTTGTGAAAAGTGGGGACATCCCATAGGCGTAATGGTTTTTATACTGTACAGACCGTATATTCTATTGCCCTACACCAACCCTACCCCTAAACCTACCCCTCACAGGAAACTGTCACCTTCTTCTTGTAATACCTATGTCATACCTTTGTCATTATACAAATTTATGTCCTCATTTATCACAAAAACGCGCACACACATCTCACACACACACACACACACACACACACACACACACACACACACACACACACAGCTGAGTTTTATACATGCTCACAAAACAAGAGATCATCAATCAGATATCAAAGATGAGCTTCAAAGCAGCTTCAGATCTGTGATGAACTGTAGTTAAAGTAATGTAAAGACAAGCTCTGGCTGTCGATCGTCCATTGATTGACTGTTCTTACAGTGATCTGTTTCTAATACTGAAAGCTCAGAGGGCGTTGGGACTCCACTGAATTCATTTCATGTGATTTCCAGGCGTTTCAGTAAACTTCATCATTCAAAGATTTACAGCAGAAATTAATGGTGAGTTTCAATACACCTGTGGCAGCATATAATAGGCCATAACTGACAGCTCAATCGGTAAAGTCCACTAGCGTACTAATACTTCTCATTCAAACTGACATAAGTGCCTGTACTTATTGTGATGGACAGTTGCTGATTTCTAATTTCCATTTTCTGTCAGTCATACTGCAATGTTATTCAAATGTATCATTTTTCAAATCAATGACATTTCTCTGTTGATTGGCAGGTTTGAGACATGAGAACATGAGTACAATACCTTCCCTCAGCAGTACTTAATGCCTTTGAGAATAGCACACAGAATTTTTGTTCAAGTAATCCTTTAAAAACATCTGATTAGACGGTAAAAGGGCAAAAATCCAGTTGGCAAATTCCCCGTAATAGTGTTTGAACCCCAATACCTGCCTCAGTTCCTTTGCCAAATACCACATTATCCAACCTCACATGATCTCTCAGCCTTTGAACCAGCTCATTCCTTGGCAAAGCATTTTTTTGATCGCTAAATGGTAAAATATGTTTTATTTAGTATTAATATTGCTTGTCAAATACAGGCATGAACAAATTAAGGATAAAACTATGAATGTTTCTTCCACTTTGGGCACTTTGATTAGTGCTACTTTTCTAATAAGGAGTGTCAGTGAAGTGCAGGCTTGAGATGAAGACATTTGAGACAATTATGGAGAGAAAAAAAAAGAAATCAAGAATTCAAAGTAAAGTCAAAATAAATAGGCCTATTAGCTAATAAATACAGTAGTCAGAGTTAGAAACGTGTGTTTTAAGAGAGTTTATTTTCTTTGAGTTCTGCAGAATAATTGATCAGTTATTGATCGTTGTTGTAAAGATTCAACCATCTGAAGTGCCACCATTTTCCTGTCCCAGGGGCGAATTTATTAGTTTTATTTGTTTGTTACTTAATGTTAATGAGCCGAACCGTAGCCATAAGAAAGCTACGAAGCAACGTCAGCTTAAGTTTATTAATATTCATAAGCAAACCTTCCTCATAGGCGCGTTACGGAGCAAAGGCATGCACTACCTAATTAATATTCATGAGCCGAGCGGTAGCAGCAGCAGTGGTAGGATTCGTCCCGGTGTGAGGCGGTGCTGTCGGCGAGAGCTCAGATGTACTACAGATGCCTTCACAGACCTCAGCAGAGACTTCTGAACATCTCACACACACTGAAATTACCTGACTCGAGAGGTAAGATCATTCTTACGGGTTTCCTTACTAAATATGACCATGTTTACAAGCAGAACTGCGAGTTAAGGTAGCAAGTGAGTTTGACAGAAAGTTGTTTCAGAAGATTTTTCAGCATGACGTCTAATATTTTTGCGTGGTTTTGAAAAATTGGTTTCCATTGGCCATGTCTGTTTTAAGGCTGTTTATTCACTTTACAATTAATGACACTGATTTATTGGAAATATAATTGTTGTGGCGTAAATAGTAATGTAAGCGCAGGCCAGTAGAGGGCTACAGTTATTATAATTCTGGGCTTTGTACTGGATGATTAATATTACCTGTTATGATTTACAAATAGTCTGCCTTTGTTTTGTTTATGCGTAATGAACATTGTATCATGCATATATATATATATATATATTATAGGCTACATCAGAATTCTTAATGATTAAGCTTTGAAGTATGTAGGTGGTTTTAGGATGGTTTGATATGGATTTTTTCATGCTAATTCTCCATGCAGTGGATGGAAACTTCAGTCTTATCAGTATGTCTAGTCAGGAACAGACATTTTCATCTTGCCGGCATGAGCAAGTTTAAATCAGGAGTTTAGGTGATGCAGAGGTTCAGCACTTAGCAAGACTGTTATATGAAACTGCATTTTCTCATACATCTGGACAGACCACCCTCATATTTTCATTAATAACAGCATAACCTCTGGCCTTGTCATAATTACCTCTGCATGTGATTTCTCCTCTGGCTCTCTTCAGCTCTTTGTAAAATTATATGTTAATGTGCATTCCATCAGAATGTGTACAGAAATGACTTGAGGAGCATATTTTACTTTCTTTTTGTGTTTACTATTAAAAAAGGAATTTGTGGCTGGACGTATTTGAATCATTTTTTAAAATAGCAAGTAGATTTTAGTTTGCATTACAGGCTTTTTTTTTATTAGACAGTTTGTATATGCCCATTCTATATTTATTGTCTGTTTTGTACATTTTAAATGCATATTAAGTCAATTCTCAATTCTAATGGTCTCATGGTCAAATCAGGTCTCATGAAGCAAAAAAAAAAAGACACAAATGAGATTATTGTTGACATACAGTAAGAATATACAGCTATAAATTATAATTGGTATTGCCACATTGAGATTGATGACTTTTGATTGCAGACTTTGGTATCTTGGTGAATTTGAGCATAGTTTGAGACATTGTTGAGATCTCTTCTGAAACACTATGGCGACACGTGCAATGTTACTGGGGTGTTTTTCTCAGACAGGAGAACCCGGAGACCAGGAAATCTCCCTTTTCTCATTTAATCTCATTGTTGTGTTGAAGAAACAACTGATGCCACAGATCTTTTTCTTGTTTTTGAAAAAGTAATATTCAGACGAACAAAACACATCTCTTCAAGTGCATGTCAAACTTAGTTACAGACAATGCTTTTCATATGCTAATCAGCAGTCAGGGTTTAAAATGAATATGTCTCTGTCTCATCGGCACTAATTGGCTGTATAATCTGGGTTAGTACAGGGGTTACTGGATAAAGAAATACCCCAGTTACCATATTCCCCAATGGCCACGAGCACCGTTTCAGCAGTTATCAAACATTTAGAAGTGCATTTTAAAAGTCTGTTACATGAATTATTGCTGCGGCAAGAACAAAATCATTAATATTTCATGTAGGGGTGAATGAACAGAACTGACCCAATAGTCATGCTATCGAACGATGACAACAAACCTAAATTCACCTGCTTAAAAAATATCCTTAATGTAGTTAGTTATTGATGTATTTACTAAATGTAGTGAATGTATGCAATTAATGTTTACATTTACATTTATTAATTATAAACATATATTAAGAGGTATTTTTACATTAAATATTAACATTTTACATTAAGTTAACCCTTACGTTTACATGGTCTTTTTGTAAATGATTTTTTAGTGCATATATTCAAATAAAAAAGTCCTAACATTTTTCACATTGAGCATTCTGTTTCACTGGGAAATAGGTTACGTAATGGAAATAAAATCCTAATACATTTGGTTGCTAGTGTGCTTCTTGGTGGTTGTTGTGGAATTTTAGGTGGTTGCTATATTACTAAGCAATAGTTCACCCAAAAAACTCAAATTTACTTATCTAAAATGTTTCTTCATCAGATTTAGGGAAATTTAGCATCACATCATTTACTCACCAGTGGATCCTCTGCAGTGAATGGGTGACAAAACATCATAATAATCCAAAAGTAATCCACACAACTCCAGTCCATCAATTAACATCTTGTAAAATGAAAAGCTGCATGTTTATGAGAAACAAATCCATCAAGTCGTTTTAACTTTAAACCGGCACTTTTGGCCAAAATATGAGTCCATAGGCTAATCTATAATAATGCTCTCTCCAGTGAAAAAGTCCATCCCCTGTTGTCCTTTCACATCTAAATCAACCCACATATTTGTTACATTTAGTGGTCGACCGATATTGGTTTTTTGACTGCCGATGCCGATATCTTGGAAAGCAGGGTGGCCGATGGCCGATATAAAGCCGATATAATTTTATTTATTTTAATTCATATTTACGAAATTGTAAATCATTTGAAAATAGATTAAAAAAATAAATATGTAAAATAAACATACTTATACTTTAAATGAAAAGTATTTTTCACAAATAAATTAATATTTAATAAAAATATAATTAAAAAGGAAGTAAACACTGTAACCAACAGGGCACTCAGTAATCTGGGAAGTTTGTGTGCATTGGGAATCATATTTTTTCAAACAAAGCCAAGGTAACACTCATTTTACATACAGCACACAGTGAAAATGGAACACTGTGTGCTCAGGCGCTGCCGTTCTCAGCGCCGTCAAAATAAAATCTGGTGCGATGTCAGAATAAAAGTCCTGCCTCGAACGCATCGGCCAAACAGAAAAACTTATCGGCCGATGCCGATATTTAAAAAATGCCAAATATCGGCCGATATATCGGTCGACCACTAGATTAGAATTGTTTTGGACTGTTTTTGCTTGTAAACGGTGCTTTATCTACATATTTCTCTCCTGATTCAGATAAGATTACTTTTTCACTGGAGAAAGCAATATTATTGATAGAGGACTCGTAACTGTTTGAAGTGATGTTTGTAATGTTGTAATGTTTGTAATGTTTTTATCAGCTGTTTGGACTCAGCACCCATTCACTGCAGAGCATCCATTGGTGAGCAAGTGATGTAATGCTACATATCTCTCCAAATCTGTTCCAATGAAGAAACAAACTCATCTACTTCTTGGATGGCCCGAGTGTGAGGACAGTTTCAGCAATTTTTCATTTTTGGGTGAACTATTCGTTTAACAGAACAACTCATGAAACTAAGTTTTGGTCTATAAGAGCCATTAAATTTAAAAGTTTACTCAAAAAGGTTTGGTGCTGTCAAGAAAGTGACTCTATGGCTCTAGTAGAGTCTCAGCGATTTTGACAGGTCACCATTGAAATGTGATACCAGAGTAGAGACTTCCCTCTGTCAGCTCAATTAGTCTCCTCGACATAACCCTTCAACCCCATTCTGTCAGCCCTCGCTCTGTTTCTCTCATATCTAGCATCGGTAAGTCACTAGAGTGGAGACAGTGTGCAATTTGAGAAACGCAAACCTTGCAGAGTTGGACAAGGACACGGTGGAAAACTTGCTGTCTGAAAGTGTTTGTAACCTCAAAGTTCTTTCTTTCAGAGAGCCATTCGAACTCAGTGTCTTGATTTAAATCATCATTCAATAGCCGCTGGCCCATTAGTTGTCCTAGACACACTTATTTCATGTGGAATCTATCAGAAATGATCTGAGCTGGGTGCTCAAGACACAAGACTTTTACTGGAGGAAAAACTTTCCTTGTTGAGTCTTTCCTTGAAGTGGATGTTTACTCTTACCTCTTATATATTTATATTAACATTATATACTACAGTTCAAAGATTTGGGGTCCGTGATATTTGTAATGTTTTTACAAGGGGACTTTTCTGCTCACCAAGGCTGCATTTATTTGATCAAAAATACAGTAATATTTTGAAATATTATTATAATTTAAAAGAATTGTTTTCTATTGGAATATATTATAAAATGTAATTTATTCCTGTGATGCAAAGCTGAATTTTCAGCATCATTACTCCAGTCTTCAGTGTCACATGATCCTTCAGAAATCATTCTATGCTGATTTGGCATGTAATGCTTCATTTTTTTTTTATTATTATTCAACTCTCTTGGTCACGTTGAGAAGTATTCATTGGTAAACATTATTCTGAAAAAAAAAAAAAAGTAGTTAAAATTAGTTTGTAATTTCTTTATCTTGCTCAGGTGTCAGCTGATGGGGGAAATCATCACATCAAGAGAACACAGTGTAGATAATGTAGAATATGTTGATTATAATGGGAGTGTCTTGTCGTGCAGAAATGTTCCACATGCATCCAGACATGTAAGAAATGTCTTGATGTTGTAATTCAGACCAAATAAGTCATTTTAGAGATACATGGGCTTGTAGTGATGTGCATTCATATGTCCTACAGTCATACATTTGATAAATATAAAGTTCTTCAGGCATAAATGAAAAATGTCCGATAAAGACTAGAAAGCTTTCCTCAGGGTTCTCAAAGAGCATGTCTGGGGAAGCTGTTTTATCAGAAACATATATTTTCCTTGTAATATGTTTGGTAAAATTGGACTTTTGGGGCTGTCAAGCTTTAAAAAAGCACTATGTAAGTATAAATTCTATTCAGAAACAGCTTAAGTTTCTGTCTTTTTTTCACACAGACAGAGCTATAGAAAGGCTACTGAAGACTGGGAAGAGTATATTATACTATTATGTTATTTAGTTATTATGTTATTGTATATTATGTTATTTTTGCCTTTGTTGGCACAAGACGATATTATTTTTGCTGTGGACACGATCAGGTTTTTTTTATTTACTATGCATTAAAACTTATAAAGGTAATTAATATGCCTCCTACATATGCATATGGAGAATTATGGATGAGTGCCCTGGTAAATA